AATAATAATAATAATAATAATTAATATAACAATAAAATAATCCACAAATTCTTTGGGGCTGGGGATTTAGCTCAGTGGTTTCGCTGCCTGCTTCACAAGCACAAGGACCTGAGTCCAATCCCCGGTACCCCCCAAAAAACAAAACAAAACAAAACAAAAAAACAAAAAACACCCATTCATGATAAAAATCCTGCAGAAAATAGGAATAGGTGATCTTTATCTCAACTTGATAAAGGCTATTTATGAAAAACCAAGAGCCAACAACATATTAAATGGCCAAAAACTGAAAACCTTCATGCTAAAATCAGTAACAAGACAAGGATGTCTACTATCACCACTCCTGTTCAATATAGTTCTGGAGATATTAACCACAGCAATTAGAAATGAGACAGAAACTAAAGCAATAAAGATAGGAAAGGAAGAAGTGAAACTCATTATTTGCTGATGATATGATACTCTACATAGAAGACCCAAACAACTCTGCCAAAAGATGTCTAGACTTAATTGACACTTTCAGCAGAGTAGCTGGATATAAGGTCAACACTCAAAAATCAAGAGCCTTCTTATACACAAATAACAGATTCACTGAGAGAAAAATTAGGGAAACAATTCCTTTCACAATAGCATTCAAAAAAATGAAGTATCTAGCAATCAATCTAACAAAGGAAGCAAAAGACCTCCACACTGAAAACTACAATACTCTGAAAAAAGAGGATATAAGAAAATGGAAAGATATCTCCTGCTCCTGTGTAGGAAGAATCAACATAGTGAAAATAGTCATACTCCCAAAAGTTCTATACAGATTCAATGCAATCCTGATTGAAATTCCAACAGCATATTTCACAGAACTAGAGAAAATAATCCAAAAATTCATTTGGAACAAGAGACCAGAATAGCAATTCTAGGCAACTGAGACATGACAGGAGGTATCACTATCCCCAAACTGAAACTATTCTACAAAGACACTATGATTAAAAACAGCATGGTACTGGCAAAGAAACAGACCAATCAGTGAAATAGATTAGAAGATACAGAAACGTCTCCAGATGTACTCAGCTACTTCATCTTTGACATCAGAGCCAACCATCCTCAGTGGAGGAAAGATAGCCTCTTTAATAAATGGTGCTGGAAAAACTTGATTTAACCTGTCAAAGATTAAAACTAGACTCTTATCTTTTACCATGCACTAAACTAAAATCCGAGTGGATTAAAGATCTAAACATTAAAACAGAAACACTAAACTTGCTGGAAGGTAAGTTAGGCAGAACTCTCAAAGACATTTGGCATAGGAAAAGACTATGAACAAACCCTCAGTAGCATGGGAATTAGCACAAAGAATCAACAACTGGGATCTCATCTTATTAAAGAGCTCATCTCATTCTCTTGCACTGCAAGAGAAACCATCAACAGAGCTAAGAGACAACTTACAATGTGGGAAAAAAACTTTACCAGCTGATCCTCAGACAAAGGACTATTACCTAGAATATATAAAGAACTCAAAAAAATCAGGCCCCCAAATATAAAGACCCAATTCAAAAATGAGCATCTGAAATAGGCATTTCTCAAAGAAGTAAAAGCAGCAAATAAATATATGAAAAATGTTCAACATCACTGGTCATTTGAGAGATGCAGATGAAAACAACACTGAGATTCCACTGCACCCCAGAAAGAATGGCTGCTATCAAAAATCAACCAATAGTAAATGTTGCTGGGGTTATGGGGAAAAAGAAACCCTTCTCCATTGTTGGTAGAAATGCAGACTGGTGCAACCACTGTGGAAATCAATATGGAGATACCTCAAACAACTAGGATTAGAGGTTCCATTTGACCCAGCTATCCCTCTGCTGGGTATCTTTCAAAAGAATTAAAAGAATCATACCACAGTGATATATGCACACCCATGTTTATAGCTGCACAGTTTGTAATCGCTAAAACTCACAAACATCCCAATTGCCCATCAATTGGAGACTGGATAAAGAAGATGTGATTTTTCTATAAAATGGAATACTACTCAGCCAAAAAGAATGAGAAACTAAAGTCATTCATGGGAAAATGGATGCATATTGAGGTCATACTCTTAAGTGAAATAAATAGGATATACATGTGTAAATACCAAATAGTTTCTCTGGTATGAAAAGCTAAAACTGTAAATAAAATCCAATTGTATAACTGATAATGTGAAATAGGAAGAAAAGGGCTAAATGTGTAGGGGAAATGGTAAGGGTAGGGGAAAGGAAATAAGGGAAAACAAAAAATATGAGAAAAGGAAAAAATGGAAACAAAGCCTTTGTAAATAGGGGCAGGTGGGTACAGGGAGGGCAGGGGTATGAGGAAAAAATGAGAACCAAGAACTGTCATGTAAAGGAACAAGATCCCAATGATGAATGTAACTATACTATATACCTAAAAAGCACAGACACTCAATGAAAAAAAAAAATCAAAGCAACCCCACCTACATATATGCATATGTACACTACATACAGTGTAAACTGACTTTGGGGGGGGCTTTTTGAGACAGGGTCTCACTATGTAGTTGACACTGACCTTGAACTCATTATGTAGCCCAGGCTGGTCTCGAACTCACATGCCTCAGCCTCCCAAATGCTAGGATTACAGGCATGCGCCACCACGCCCAGCCTGACTTTTTTTTAAACATAAAATTTATTTATTTATTTTTATTTTTTATTTTTGGTACCGGGGATGGAATTTGGGACCTTGCACTTGTGAGGCAGGTGATAGAACTACTGAGGTAAATTCCCAGCCCTGTAAGCTGACTTTTTTTTTTTTGGTACCAGGGATTGAAGTAGGGTCCTTGCCCTTGCAAAACAGGCGGCAGAACCACTGAGCTAAATCCCTGACCCTGTAAACTGACTTTTATCCCATGATGATTACTTAAGTGCTTTTTCAAAATCCATTTCCTCACATTAGACCCTTCCAAGACCTTGTGTGAGCAGTCATGCTCTGCTAGGCAGCCCCTTGGAAGCACTCTCACCTGTAGACTGCCTATGTGAGAGGCCCACTGATATCTAGGCTTTGAGAGTCTTCTATCTTCTGCTTCTTCTTAATCATCTGGGCCAGGAAGTTCCCAAGTGCTGACAAAATGCCACTGTGGACAGAGAGGCAATCAGAAAATGGGACAACTGCCCTAGGGCGTCTTTTCCTGCTGGGGCCACAGCTGGCAAGGTTGCTCTGAGATTACAGGAAGTCCGTCCATGGGTGGTGGGATCGGTTCTCATCCTATCAGCTTCAGAACCGAACACATCCACACACCAACATGATGCTGGTAACTATATACAAGTGTCTCGAAGGAGTGGGGTTAAAAAGGCAACAGCAGGATCCTTAGGATGACACTATTCTGTAGTTTGTGATGTGGACACATGACCCTACACATGCGGTGAAACTGAACAAAATTAACACACACTGAGTACAAGAAAAACGGAAGGGAAATCTGAACATAATCTGTGGGGCTGAGCACTGGTTGCTGACACTGTATCGTTTTACACAGTTGTTCCAGTAGATAAAGATCCTATCCCCAAATGTTCCTTCGCTCGTTTTCGCACCTATACGGGAGCCCACGTTGTTGCAGTAAAATTGTCAGAAGGTGGAGAAGGGGGCCGGGGATTTAGCTCAGCGGTTCGGTGGCCTGCCTTGCAAGCGCAAGGATCGGAGTTCAATCTCCGGTACCAAAAAAAAAAAAAAAAAAAAAAAAGAAGGTGGAGACGGGCTTGATACTCGCTCTGAAACTGGGTCTATGGTTGCCTTCTGGGAACTATAATATAAAATCGAGAATTCTTAGCACAGTACAGGGTCTTTTAAATCTGACCCTTAGCTACTTCTTTCTCATTTCCTTCAGCCTGCGCGGGCTCCTCCCCCAGGACCTCTGCCCGCCATTGCCCTCCTCCCAGAGTCCGCTTCTTCGCAAGCCTGAAGTCACCGCTCGGTGACTCTCCTGACCAGAGTCCTGCGGTCACCTCTGTCCTCGCGGGGGCCGCGAACACTTATCCTGCATAGTGGCGCCTGCACGGCTTAGGGAGGCTAGTTCACGGAGGACACAGCTCTACGGCGACACGCGTCGTCCACCTGGTGGCCGCGTTGGTGAGCATTGGGTAAAGCTGCAAAAGCAGCAGGTACCAGACGAGCGCGGGCTCCGCGCGCAGCCCAGACGCCTGCGGGAGCCATCTCAATCTCGGTCTCTGTCTCCGTTTCGCAGTGCACCGCCAGGGGAAGCGACTCCTCCACTGGCTCGCTGGGCTCGGGACCCTAGTCTCTAGTCGCAGGGTGGGACGGCCTGACATTTCCCGCCCCACTGCAGCCTGCAGCACTGCTCTGGATAGACTTCGCTGTGGTGGAACTAGCCACCACGTACTTCCTCCCCCGGCCCTGACCCCAGCCTCCTGGAGCGGGGCGGGGCGGGTAGCACGCCTGCATATATAGCAGCCCGAGACCCCCTTGGCCACTCCTCTGAGCGCCACCGCGGTTGGAGAGCCGGGGTTAGCGTTGCGCCTCCTGATTGGACGCGTGCACTTCCAGGCTCTCGCGATAGCAGGGAGAGGGCGCCAAACTCGTCTCGGAGGTTGAAGAGTCGGAAAGCGGCGCCATGGTGCTGAGGAATAGTGGACGGCGGGTCTTGGAACCCGGTGCGGACGGCGAGGCCAGCCGGTAAGAGCCGTCTCCGCTCCCGAGCCTGTTCCCGCGCGGCGCGGTGGCGCCCGGGCATAGCCCTCCTGTTCTGTCAGCGGCTCTCCGCGGGACTGGACTACAAACGCGGAAGACGGGCAGGTGGGGAATGGGAGGGCTGAGCCCTGCGGGGATGCCGACTGCGGCAAGGGTGTCTGGCGAACAGCCTGTCAGCTGTGCCTCAGTCTCTCTGGAAGAGGATCCAGGTGGTCCCCTTCGTAGGGCTCGTCATGAAGATTGAGCGTGCGTAGAGGGGGTGGGACAGCGTCTGTGATAATAAACAACCAGTAAATGGTGTTAGCTTTGTGACCATAACCCTATTTTTCAGATTGTGTACTATTACTGGATAAAAAAGTGAGACATCTTGAGGGGGGGAGAGACATTAATCTGCCTGCCGCAAGTGGTTATCGTCTTTTTTAGGAAGAATCTTAACCTTGGAATATTATGGCCATGCTTTTGTTCAGTTGGAGGTGACTTAATACTTTCAGGGGAAAGAAATGGTTTTAAAGAAACAGTTTTGTTTCCACTTTATAAGTTAAAAACTGGTGAGCTAAATTGAGGTAGCAGAGGATATGAATTCTGCACAGACTTGGTTAAGATCATTTTCAAAATTTTTTCGACATGTAGCTTATGTAGATGGCTTCTTTTTAACCTCTTGTAACACTTGTGTTGAACATCCACATGTAAAGTGATTGTTTCTTGCACATCTATTTCCTTGGTGTAAATGATTTGAAGCAGAATTGCAGGGTGAAATCATGCAGCAATGTTTTAGAAACACATTGTGAAGACACTTAACACTGTCCACGACAGTGTTGGTCGTATAGTTTCATCAATAACAGGTACTATAGCCGGACATGGTGGCACATGTGCATGCCTGTAGTCTCAGCACTCGGGAGGCTGAGGCAGGAGGATCGCTGGGAGTTCAAGGACAGCCTGGGGTACACAGTAAGTTTAAGGTTAGCCTCAACTACAAAGTGAGACCCTGTCTAAAAAATTAAATTAAATTAAAAAATAAAAATGAGCCAGACATGTAGCTCAGTGGTGCCATGCCTGTCTGGCAGGTGCAAAGTCCCCAGTTTGATTCCTCATACCAAAAACAAACTGATACTCTAGGCTGGGTTTGGTGCCTCATCCCTGTAATTCTAGCAGTAGGGAGGCCAGGGCAGAAGAATCATCACATTTCAAGGCCAGCCTGGGATACCTGTGAGTTTAAGAGCACCTGGACTACATGCTGAGACTAGGTCACAAACATCCACAGAAGTGCATTCTAGCAAATGGCATGGGGAGCTAGAATCAGATCCTGGGAAGGGAGGGGTGATAAAAGGAAAGGAGTGATACCTGTGAGTAGTTGGGGAGGAGAGGCCTTTGACACTGGATTCCTGTGAAACAATCAGCATTGCCTTGTGTGGAAGAGCACATGGAACATGCCCAGGAACATGCCTAGCAGGAGCCAGGACTGGGTGTCTGTGTCTTTCTGCCTGGCAAGGCCAGGAAGCAGAGGTGGGACATGGACTTGCTTCTGTGTGGGGATGTGTATTTACCATCTCTCATTTGAATGTCAGCATCTCTCTCTCTACACATTTGTATCTGTATCTGCCTGTTTTGGGGTTTTTTTCCCCCCTCAGTACTGGGCAATGAACCCAGGGCCTTCACATTGAACTTTTTTTTTTTTTTTTTTTTTTTT